GGCTGTTTTCTCCAAAAAGGCTACGACGTGGTGGTGGCGAGATTGGTGATGTTCGCGCTAGTGATAGTGTGATGACGATGCCTGGCCGGGTTGGCAAATGACCGCGGGCACGAGCAAAACGAGCTTGGTGAAACCAACACTAGTAGCAAGTTGGCAAGGGTTCTCAATACTGCCACCACGATCATCCTCGTCTTCCTCATGCGTATCCCCTTTACCATCGCACCGTCATCCTATCATATCGACCAAAAGCAACACAATGGAAGTAGATAGTCTGGCCCTGCTGCAGTTCCCACTGCTGCACCTTCCCTTGCAGAGGTCTGCAACCTAAACTAAGCCCCAAGCCCCTACAACTTTTCTAAACAAACCCTTACGAAGAGCTCCCTAGAGAGGAGGTCTTAAACCTAAACTAAGCTCCAAGCCCCTGCAACTTGTCTAAAGCCTCTACCCCTTACGAACCCTGACCTCCCTAGAGAGGAGGTCTGAAAGCTAAACCAAGCCCCAAGCCCCTACAACTTGTCTAAACCCTCAAACCCCTACGAACCCCTGAGCTCCCTAAAGACGCATACGGGTGGTTGTCAAAATTAGGATCCGTTTTTGGGTCCTTGTTATAGTACGGCACCTAATATTTCGGGTACCCAAAAAGGAACCCTAATTTTGACAACCACCCGTGCAGAATACGCAAGGTCCTGGCAGTGGAAGAGCTTTTGAGCCAGGCAGGGCCAGGGTTCAGACTTGAGAGTTTAGGGTTGAGAGCTAGGTCATAGGAGGCCAAAAGGGGTTTTAGGGTTTAGGGGTTACGATTTAGGGGTTAGGGGTTTAGGGTTTTAGGATGCCAAAAGGGGTTTTAGCCTGTGGGGGTTTAGAAGGGATTAGGGTTCCCACAATGGGGTTCATATTCAGGAATCCCTACCCCAAGAATCTTAAACCCCCCCTTTTTGGCCTCCCATCACTACGGTTGATGATATAAATCCTGCATCACCCATAATAAGGAATATACCATAATTCCCATAGTTTAGGGTCCTTAAGGTAATGCAGGATTTATATCATCAACCGTAGGGTTCAGTTCTTGGACACGGCCGCTAGGTCCTCTACTTCTGATGCAGACCACCCCGCGAAGCCTAGGGTCTCAGTCCTGAACCTCTTGGGTCCTTGTAATCAGGCTATGTAGGACTTTGTAGGGTCTTAGAGTTCAGGGCTTTTTGGGGGGGCTTCCCAAGAGACTCGAATATCCCTTAGTGAAGGAATATACCTTAAATTCTACTAGGATCCCTTATATGATTTAAGGTATATTCCTTAATTAAGGGATATTGGAGTCTATAGGTTTAGGGCACTTTTTTTTGGAACCCCAAGTTCAGGGCAGCCACCAAGAGCTGGAGAAACTCACAGAGCATTTCTGACTTTGTGGTACGTCCTAGCCCCAAAAGCCAGACCCCACACCCAAATGTAGGAACCTGATAAAGAAACCTTGGGCCTTTATAAGGGTTCCTTATTTGAAACCCACTATTTTGGGGTTATAGGCCCAGGGTGTCTTATCAGGCTCCTACATGAACCCCAAAAGCCAGACCCTAACCCCTAAACCCCTAAACCCCTAAACCCCTAAAACCCTAAACCCTAAACCCCTAAACCCCTAAACCCCTAAACCCCTAAACCCCTAAACCCCTAAACCCCACCACCCCCAAACCACGAAGCCCAAATCTTAAGTCCTAGACCCGAAGCCGGAACCCTGAGCTGCAAGCTTTGAACCGAAGGGTTTAGGGTTTAGGGAAACTTATGAACCGTTTAGGGTTTAGGGTCTAGGGTTGAGGGTTTAGGTTCCCAAACTTATAAGGGAGTTTCCGAAAATAGGGAACCCAAATATGGTACCCTAAATAGTAGGATCCTTATTATAAGGACCCCAAATTCAGGTACCCCCATTTTCGGAAACTCCCATAACTTAGGGCTTCTGAGGGTTTAGCGCCTTGAGGGTTTTGAGGTTTAGGGATTAAACCGACACCGAGGCCTGAAGAATCACCTACACTTTTCCTTCTTGTTCCTTATTATACACCCAACTGTTATTGACTTGTTTGTGGGGCTATTTGCAAGAGGGTCCGTGTATATTATTACTAGTATGGAATTAGGTTCCTGATACCATAAGGAGGATGTAATTTCATATGGTAGCAGATACTCTCTGGGTCTAAGGGTTCACGTACCCTCGGGGCTCGTGGTATAAGGGTCGGCTTTTTGGTCACGGCCTACACCTAAGCCCCGGATATCGCAGTTTAGTAAAGGGTTTAGGATATACCGATATACCTAAACCCTAAACCCCTTAACCCCTTAAACCCCTAAACCCGACACCCTAAACCCTAAAAGGTGGTGGGCCTTTGGGGGTTCGAGGGTTGAGAACTTCGGATTTTAAAGCTTAGGGCTTGGGAGTTAAGGTCTGAGGCTTTCCTTAAACTACCAAACCCTACTTTTTTGTAGGCTCTTATTATAAACCCTAATATGGAAATGTAGGGGCCCTACAAAAAAGTAGGTTTTGGGAGGTCAAGGTCAGGTGGATTTTTAGAGGCTTGAGGGTTTAAGGTGTATAGGCTTCAGGGATTGGGGCTGAGGTTTTTGGGAGCTGAGGGGGTAGCATGTGATCCTAAACCTTCGAATGTCCAAAACCCCCAAGGTTTGGGGGTTTGGATCATCAATATGGGAATGTCCGAAAATAGGGGATCCTGACATAGCGCACTAAATAGTAGGATCCCTAGTAAAGCGTACCCCTAGGTTTCGAAAACTTTCATATCTTGTATAAGAACAACCTCAGGATCATGGCTTTAGGGTTTCCTGATGTGGGGATTGCAAACTACGTAGGGCCAGGGATCCACCGCCGGTCTACTGGATTCTCTTTGAGGAATTTATTTCAAGGTACCACGGTCAGGCTCTCAATAGAGTTCTCTGGCAAACAACAGAGTTTCCATGTTATGGCATCCAAAATTAAGGTCCATTGCTCCAAGGCCTGATAAAGCCCTGAATGGACCCCTGAATTATTGCAACCTAATAAGCACCCAGACGCCCGGGAGGATCTAGAAGCTAGATCCCCTATTTTGGGGATGTGTACTACTAAGGGTACTTTATAGGAACCCATAAAGGAATCTACTTTTTGGATCCTCCAGGGTCTGGGACAGAGAAGCAACATGAGCCCACGGATACGGATGGGAAGGTCAGATCGCAAGCCATGGCGACACTTGAGGCGGGTCTGCACCTTCAGGGCGGTTTAGGGTTGAGGGTTTAGGGTTTAGGGGAAATTTTCGAGACGCTGCAAGTTCCCGACTCTTGATAGCGGGGCCGAAGACCCCTAACCCCAACTGCTGCAAATTGACAATGCTTGTGCAATCCAGCTCATGCAAGAAGATACGCCCGCAAAACAGTGCAAGATTTCTTTCCCTTCCATGGTCCCTACTATAAACCCGACTCCTGACACCCTAAATCTAAATCATGTCCATCATATCTTCGAATTCTTAAACCCACAGGCCAATCGCCAAAGCTGATGCAGCTCCACAGCCCAACGTAGTGACTGATGAACAACAAATGCACGAATCTGCCGTCCTGAAGGTTTAGGGTTTAGGCTTTAGGGTTTAGGGTTGTGGGTTTAGGGTTTCGGGTTTAGGGTGAATCCTGATCCCCCAAGCCCCAAACCCGTTGTTTGTCATCCTGTACCCAAAGGCCTCATGCATTCTCAAGCTTCAGGCGCTGCACCCCGCACCCTAAGACCAAAGTCTATGGTAGAGGATGCCCCCCAATTCCTGAACCTCAACCGCCAGAACTTGTTATAGACTAAAGTAGAGGTTGGAACTGTTTCCAATACAGTATCCTCTTATGGTCCCTAGACTAATTACTGTACACCATGATATACCCCTCAAGCCCTACTCTTACCCAGTTTATCCTTGTCCTAAACCGCAAGCCCAACAAGACTAGACCCCCATGCCGTGAACCCTGAAACCCATAAATCTTACCTTGAGAGGGCCATACCCCTCAGTCGAGGAATGACCTTTAACATCCTTTCACCGTATGCAGACTAACCCTACCTTAAACTACCAAACCCTACTTTTTTGTAGGTTCTGATTATAAACCCTAGTATGGAAAATATAGGGACCCTACAAAAAAGTAGGTTTTGGGAGGTTAAGGTAATCGAGATTGGACCCTGTTCGGCAGAGCGTCAGCCCCATTGCACCTCTCAAGAGAAAGGAACAGACCTGAGCGCACGGATGTCCCTCCTGTAGGGTTGAAGGTTTAGGTTTAGGGTTTAGGGTTTAGGGTTTAGTATAGGGGCCCAAATATATACTAATGCTACTTAGGGGGTTCCTTATTTTCAGTACACTATGATGTAATTACCCCAAAACCAATTATTCCAACTACGAAGGCCGCGATATTACGTGTATTGATCTACCCTAAACCCCTGAACCCTAAACTCTAGCCTTTAGTTTGAAGGTTTAGGGTTTAGCTCCAGCAAACTCCTCGGGGGTGCGCTCAAGCGGCCATGGGTGCGATGGCAAGATCGAAGGCTGGGCACTTCGTGCACCTCTTGGGAGGGTTTGCGTACACCCTAAACCCTAAACCTGGGTTTGTCAGGGTATACATGTATTAAGTGTACCATGAGGGGGGTTGCAACGGTTCTGCAAGGGGTTTTATGACAGGGTCCTTCAACCTATTGTGCAAGATGTTGTCTTGTTTTCGTATCGGTTCAATAGGGTTGTCGGGTTCCGTGTTTTGTGCTAGTTAGAATGGGGCTTTAGTAGGGTGTGTTACTAGTTAGCTCAAAGGGTTGTGCGGACCTCGCGACTCTTGGTGCAAATCCTGGAGGCATGAGGCCATTACTCCAAGCCGCCCTTGGCAGGGGGGTTTAGGGTGTCTAAGGCTTAGGTTTTGCCGTGAAGGAACATGCAGCCTGATTCGCCGACATGCAGCGTGCATTGCTCAAGCACACGCCGCCAACAGCTTGGAAGTCTGACGTAAGCCTGCGAAATCCAGACGCGATGGCGCGCCGTGCACTTCTTGCTACCATGCGACTTGGCGTGTTGTTGGGAACCTAGTTGTCGATGGGTCACCTGAAAAAAAGACAACCCTACCCCCAAAAGCATCAGACGAATCCAAGGCTCGTTGTGCTTCTTGTGTTTGGCGAGGCCGTGCGGCAGGAAGACGTGAAGACAGCCCTAAGAGACGATCTCCAGACAGGTGAGGGTGTCCAGTCCTGCTGCAGATGCGAGGGTGGAAGTGGGGTCCTGGGCTACTTCAAGTCAACTTCCACCTGCGGGAGCATGAGCAAATCGTGGATGAGATGCTCCGATACAAATCTCAGCTTGTGCTGAGTTGGGGTTTAGGGTTTCGGTTTCACTGCTGATCATGAAGTCTCAGCGATGTGGATGTGGTGTCGAGTGCAAGATGTACAAAGATGGCACTTGCGCTCGGAAGGTAGATCGGTCAAAAGAGAGAGTCTGACCTGTGTGTGGCGTCTTTCCTGGTTTTGCTCAAAACCCCAAGCACGAAGCCCTAAACCCTAAATCGTAAACCCGAAGCACCACAAAACCCCCAACTTCAACACTGAGCCCTAGGCGCGAAGCCCTAGGCCTCCAGCAACTTCGCAGAGGTTTGATGGCCTAAACCCCTGAACCCTGAACCCCGTTTAAAAGGAACCCCTAGAGATCCCTCAAAGGAACCCTGAAAGGAATCCCTTTAGATCCCTACTAAGACCTAGTTGGGGTCTTGGGAAGATCCCGGGGGTTTCGCGAGCCGGGCCCGCTGTGCAAATCTCATCGGGTTGGAACAGGCTTGAAGCGGGAGTTTCCGAAAACTATGTAGGGTGGACGAAGCTCTCAATGCTGGACAGTTTAGGGTTTAGTGGGTTGATAAGGGTCTCCTTCCCTACATTGGGGGCTTTGATGCAGTGAATTGGGGTTCCTCTGGAGGCTTGAAAATCAATGCTAATCTAGTCTTTTAGCCCCATGTAATTATATTACGATTCAGACCCGAAGCTCTATTCTTAATATTACGGTCAATGTATTGCGGCTTTTTGGATGTGTGTCGTCGACAGCCGTGTAAAGCTTGCAAGAAGGATCAAAAGAGCCCACAACCAAAACCCGAAGGCACTCCCGAAGCGATCTTGGCTGCATAGTCGCAAAGCCAGTGAAAATTCTGAGAACCTGTGCAGGTGGAGCAGCAGCTGGCATCCCTGGAGATGAGAGGGCATAGTGGTCCTTGAGTTGAGGACTTTACTGGTTAAAGAGGGTATTGCGAATAGCAAAGCTTGTAGTTTCTGGAACACCAGGCTCCATCCCCAAACTCGTTCAACCCTGGACTCTAATTTTTGACCCTGAACCTGAACCTTGCGCCCTAAGCCCTGAACCATAAGCCATATGAGCAGCCCTGCAACAAAGCCGTCACAAACCTATCCCTAAAGTTTCCAGTTACTTATGATGGAAAGCCTTAGCCCTAAAACCCTAAACCCTAAACCCTAAATAACCCTATACCCTAAACCCTAAACCCTAAATAACCCGAAACCCTAAACCCGAAATAACCCTAAACCCTAAACCCTAAACCCTAAATAACCCTAAACCCTAAACCTACTTCAAACCTCTCCAGGCGGTGGAGATATGGAGCCTCCCTCCGGTTGCTCGCATGGCTCCCCCGCTTCGGCCCCTTGGCTCTGCCGAGGGGTCCTTTTTTTGAAGTCAGGTATGAAAAGAGCTATGTATCTACATGTGTATATATATATATATATATATATCGATATACATGTAGATGTAGATGTATGCATGCAGATACGTACTGTATTTCCTTACCAGAACTATACTTGACTTAACTGGGACTTACTCCTCTTCTCATCATCATCATCATCATCTTCTTTTCCTCACCACCACCGCCGCCACCACCACCCCCGCCACCACCCCCGCCGTCGCCGCCACCCACCGCCGCCCGCCCGCCACTGGCACCGCGCGCCGCCGCCGCGGACCACCGCCGCTGCCGCGCCGCCCCCGCGCCGCCATCATCAATATCATCATCTTCATTATCATCATCATGAGCAGCATGGTCAGCATGGTTGTCATGAGCATCATGAGCATCATTATTATCATCGTCACGATCAGCATTACCATCCTCATCCTCCTCCTCCTCCTCCTCCTCCTCCTCCTCCTCCTCCTCCTCCTCCTCCTCCGCCTCCTCATCATCATCTTCCTCGTCTCCATCATCATCGTCGTCTTCATCATCACCATCATCACCATCATCACCATCATCACCATCATCACCATCATCACCATCATCACCATCACCATCACCATCACCATCATCACCATCATCGCCATCGCCATCGCCATCGCCATCGCCATCGCTATCGCCATCGCCATCGCCATCGTCGTCACCATCATGTCGTCTTCAGCATCATCTTCGTCGTCATCATCATAAGCATAGCCACCAACAGTCGACAGCCTCATCGTCATCACCATCGCTTATCGCCGTTTTTCTCAGAATCATGAGAATCCTCGCCATCAGATCCACAGTCTCACCATGACCATCACTCTCTTTGTCCTCCTGCTTCTGCTCCTTTTCCTCATCCGCGAGCACGGAACCGACTTCCTCCCCCGGTTGCCCCGCCCCAGCCGCTTTCGAGCCCGACGGCCGAAGCTCTAAAGCCTGAACCCGGAACCCTAAGCCCTAAACATCGGGGGTTTGGGTTTAGGGGTTTAGGGTTTGGGGGTTTAGGGGTTTCGGGGTTTAGGGTTTAGGGACCGCAAAGCCTTGACTGTGAGGATCCTCAGTGACTGCGAGTTGGGCGACGACTCCGCTCCGGGGATGGAGGCGAGGTTCGCCCTGCTGACAGTGGTGATGGAAGCAGTGGTGCAGGAGTTGATGCGGTGGTAGAGGCAGGAGCAAAAGCGATAACAGCTGTGGGACAGCTGGCCGGTACACAGAGTATCATGGGACTTAGTAACTAGGTTTGGTAATATTAACTATACTTACAATTATGTATAACCCCGATTAAGGTACTTAGAACCCTACTTAGTAGAACGAGGGATCGTGAGAACGAAAATGGAGGTGGTCCAATGGTCTTTGTCGTCGTCGGAGGTGCGCATTCAATTCCGAAGATCAAGGTGTACCCTAAACCCTATAAGCCCTATAAGCCCTTTAAGCCCTAACCCCAAATCTGAAGGCTAAAGCGCAACACCCCGCCAGGCCAATCTCGAACTGCCTGGGCTAAATTTGCAAATCCCCAAGCCAAAGCGCGAAGTTCCCAGCTGAAAAAACTACCCCAGAAATTCCGTTTTACAGACCGCTTTAAGTTCACTGTTCAGAAATCCGCAAGCTCTATCGTTCAAGTCCGCAGAAGTTAATCTGTTGAAAGCCTTGATTAATTGCGTCGGTTGAAATCCGAATTGCAGTCATTCTTCTAGAAACCTAAAGCCCCTTGAACTTAAACCCCTAAGTTATCACCTTTGCTTCGTTTCTGCGGCAGATCGCTGCGGATCTCCGCGAAGCGGAGAGGGCCATCAGCCAGGCGAGCCCATTGAGGTTTCAGGTGCAGGTTTTTCTCAATTTTTTTCAGGATTTCGTGGGGTGTAGGGTTCATGGATCTAATGCTTTTATTCTGTTTTCATAGGGGTTTGCAGCGGGGTGTTCATGGATCTAAGCCTTCTATAGCCTTGCAAGACACCCCGTGAGACCAGCTTCTGACACCCTTCAAGATGCGCCACACCCTGTGTTCGTCTTCCCTACTCCATGCCGAACCCTGGTACAACCCCTGAAACACATGAGCCATAATACTTGGAACAGGGTTTTGGGGTCTAGTATGGTATCACCGAGCACATATTTCAAAAGGGGATATCATGACTTACTACTTGATCCAACCCCTCACACCCTGAGCCCTAAACGTGGGCCAGGCACTCTGAACCGTTGTCCCCGGAACCTTGCCTCAGAGTTTAGAGTGCGGGTTTACGGGTTTTCAGGTTTGCCACCAAGCCCCAAACCCCAAAAGGTATAGATCTTTTGGCGTTTACTTGGAGGTTCCTGGGTAGTTACAAGTGGGGTTATCATTAGGGTAACCATGGTTATAACCCCTATTACGGGACTTATAGCCCCATTTACAACTGCCCATGAACCTCCAAGTAAACCCTAAACCCTATACCCTTATAGAATCCCTATAGATCCCTTTAAAGGCCCATAAAGGAACCCTTATAACTACCCATGGTCCCCGGGCGGAATGAGTGCAAGCCCGGGGGGGGTCAAGAGAGGCCCGCGAGCGTTGCCTCTGCAGGCTGACGTCCGAGGTGCGCTTCATGTTTGTTTAGGGTTTAGGGTTTAGGGTCCAGGGTTTAGGGTCTAGGGTTTAGGGTTTAGGGTTTGGGGTCTAGGGTTTAGGGTTTAGGCTTTAGGGTTTAGGGTCTAGGGCCTGAGTCTAGGGTCTAGGGTCTAGGGTTTAGGGTTTAGGGTTCAGGGTCTGGGGTCTAGGGTTTGGGGTTTAGGGTTTAGGTTTTTTCTTCTCCAGAGGGTCCGCATACACTGCCATTATATGGAATTAGATACCGAAAGACCATCCCCATTATGGTTTTGGGGCCCTAATTCTATAATGGTAGTGTACATGGACCCTCTGGGTTCATTTTATTTTGAGGTTGAGTGGGTTTAGGGTTTGATGTTGAGAGAGGGGTGCATCTTCTTTAAACCATTTGAAATAATCATCTTGAATTAGTTTTGAAATCATCTTTAAATAGTTGGTCAAATCCCAATATGAAGATTCTAATGAACCCTAAACCCTAAACCCTAAACCCTACAGTAAACCTTAAACCCTAAACCTTAATGAATCTTAGGTTCTTCAGGAGTTCTCGTTCTGCGCGGTCTTCCTGGGTTTGGGCCGTCAACTCTTGGGTTTCGCTCTCTTTCGACTAGGATGCCCAGTAGTACCCTTATTCCCTTTTTGTAGTCCTAGGTTCCTTCTAAAGTTACCCAATACCAAAAAGAGAGGCCTTCTTGTTCTTAGGTTACTGGGTATCCTAGTCGGGCAAAAGGCTTCAAGTAAACATCCCTGAAGCCTAGTATACAAACCTAAATATTTAGGGGCCTTAACAATTAGAGTACTGTTCCTTTAAAGGGGTTACTATAAGGGCTACTATAAGGGTTATATATCAGGGGCCGAAATAATTACCAATACTAGTTCAAGCAAACATCTCTGAAGCCTACTATACATTCGAAGGGGCCCCCACCCTGTAATAGTGGTATAATAGGAGTATAATGGGGTCCTAATATAATCCTTATAGTCACTATTACAGGGTGGGGGCAGCTTCTAAACTATACAACCCTAAAATATTCACCAATCCTATTTTGG